GAGCATAGAATGCCTTTAGACATTTCCAGGTTGTCTTCATGAGGGGATGTAGAAAAATACTTAAAGATTTTATTTATTTACTTTTAGAGACAGGGGAAGGGAAAGAGAAAGAGAGGGAGAGAAACATCATGCGAGAGAGAAATATTGATTGGTTGCCTCCTGTACATGCCCCAACCTGGGACCAAACCTATAACTCAGGCATGTTCCCTTATTGGGAATCAAACTGGTGACCTTTCACTTTGCAGGATGATGCCCAACCAACTGAGCTACACTGGTCAGAGCTAGAGAGATATTCAGAAGAACCTTTATTTAAAAGTTGTTTCTTACCCCCATCTCTACCCTCATTGTTCATATTGGTAGAGAGTGAAGATCATTAAAGCCCATGATATAAAACAGTTGGCATTTGGAGGAGGAAATCATGGCACTAAATAAGCTTTCTGATACTTTTATTATCTATTCAGTTAAGAATTTAAAATTATACCACTACAATATATAACATCAGAGAGCTGCTTAATTTACTTTAAAACATGTGGTATTTTAAGCATAAACAAATAGGGAAAAAGGTGAATTTTACCAAACATTCCAAGAAGACTAACGCCTCTCCTCAAATTATTTCATAAAATTGAAGAGGAGGGAATTCCCCAAAACTCATTTGATGAGGCCAGTATTATCCTAATTCCAAAACCAGATAAAGAGACTACAAAGAAAGAAAATCTTAAGCCAATATTCCTGATGAAAATAGACACTAAAATCTTCTATAAAATATTAGCAAACTGAATACAGCAATGTAATGAAAAGATCATATACCATGATCAAGTGGGGTTTATTCCAGGAATACAAGGTTGGTACAACATTCACAAATCAATAAATGTGATTCACCACATAAACAAATGAAGGATAAAAACTACATGATCTTATCAATAGATGCAGGAAAAGCATTTGATAAGATCCAGTACCCATTTATGCTAACTCTCATCAAAGTGGGATTAGAGGGAACATAACTTAATAAAGGTCCACTGCCTTTATGACAGTGCCACTGCCAAACACTGCCAGCATCATACTCAAAGGGCAAAAACTACAAGCATCCCCCTTAAGGTCAGGAACAAGACAGGGATATCCACTTTTACCTTTGTTATTCAACATGGTAGTGGAAATCCTAGTCATAACAATCAGATAAAAAGAAATGAAAGGCATCCAGGTTAGAAAGGAAGATATAAAACTGTTATTATTTGTTGATGATATGATCCTGTACATAGAGAACCTGAGAGATTCCATCAGGAAACTACTAGAATGGATAAATGAATTCAGCGATGTAGCAGGATACAAAATTAATATCCAGAAATCAGTTGCATTTTTATATGCCAATAACAAACTAAAAGAAAGGGAAATTAAGAAAACAGTCCCATTCATAATTGCTACAAAGGGAATAAATTACCTAGGAATAACCCTAACCAAGGATGTAAAAGACCTGTACTCAGAAAATCATAAGACACTGAAAAAAGAAATTGATGAAGATACAAATAAGTGGAAGCACATACTGTGTTCATGGATAGGAAAAAATAATGTCATTAAAATGTCCTTAGTACCCAAAGCAATCTATAGATTCAACACAATTCCTGTCAAGATTCCAATTACACGTTTCACTGAACTTGAACTAGTATTTCAAAAATCTTTATGGAACCACAAGAGGCCCTGCATAACAACAGTGTTCCTGAGAAAGAAGAACAAAGTTGGAGGAATCATGCTACCTAATAAACTATACTATAAGGCCATAGTGATCAAAACAGCATGGTACTGGCATAAAAATAGACACATAGATCAATGGAGCAGAATAGAGAGCCCAGAAATAAACCCACCCATTAATAGTCAATTAACATTCAACAGAGGAAGAAAGCATATACAATGGGCTAAAGATAGTTTATTCAATAAATGGTGTTGGGGAAGTTGGATAGATATATGCAGAAAAATGAAACTAGACCACCTTCTGACACCACACACGAGAATAAATTCAAAATATATCAAATACTTAAATGTTAGACTCAAAACCATAAAAATCATAGAAGAAAACATAGGCAGCAAAATCTTGGACATTGCTCATAGCAGTACTTTATCGAATATATCTCCCCAGACAAGGGAAACAAAAGACAAAATAAACAAATGGCACTACATCAAACTAAAGGTTTCTGCACAGCAAAGAAAATAATGAACAAGATAAAAACACCACCCACAGAATGCGAGAACATATTTGCTAATACATCTGATATGGGGTTAATATGCAAAATTTATAAAGAACTTATAAAACTCAACATCAGAAAAACAACCCAATTTAAAAATGGGCTTTGGACCTGTGTCGACAGATACTTGTTCAAAGAGGACATACAGATGGCAAATAGACATATGAAAAGATGGTCAAGGTCACTAATCATCAGAGAAATGCAAATTAAAGCCACAATGAAATATCATCTCACACCTGTCAGAATGGCTATCATCAATAAATCAACAATCACTGAGTGCTGGCAAGAAAGGAGAATCCTTTTACAATGTTGGTGGAAATGCAGACTGCTGCAGCCACTGTGGAAAGCAGTGTGGAGATACCTCAAAAAAATTAAAAATGGATCTGCCTTATGAGCCAGTGACCCCACTTCTGGGAATGTATACAAAGGAACCAAAAGCACTAATTTGTGAGAACATAAGCACCCCTATATTTATCGCAACATTATTTACAATCTCCAAGATGTAGAAGCAGCCTAAATATCCATCAGTAGATGAGTGAGTAAATCAATTATGATACACTTACAAAGTGGAATACTACTCTGCCATAAAAGAGAAAAATATCCCTTGGGGCAGTATAGAGGGACCTGGAGAATATCATGCTAAGAGAAATAAGCTATTCAGAGAAAGACAAATGCTGTATGGCTTCGTTTATACATGGAATCTAATGAACGAACTGAACTAACAAGGAACGTGGGACTGACTTGTAGATGGAGAGCAGGATGACAGCTCAGGTTAGGGCAGTGTGAGGGGGTGGAGGGATTGAGCAAAAATGAAAAATGAGTCATGGACATGGACAACAGTATGGTGTTTGCTGAGGAGGGTTATAAGGGGACTAGATGGTAATGGAAAAATATACAATAAAATGAAAAATTCATAACTTCCCCAAAATAAAATAATTAAAAAAACCCAGCCACAGAAACGTATAACAGGCATCTCTATGTACATCATCTACCTTAAGAAATAACATATTACAGATACTATTGAAGCATACTTTGTCACCTTTTCTTTATTCTGTAGAGATCACTATAGAATTTGATGTTCAATATTCTCATTTCTCTTTTGATATTTTCATACATACATATGTATCTGTAGTGTTATATGTACTTAATTGCATATTTCTTGAACTGTTTATACATGGTATTCTTCCATAATCCTTTAAAGTTAACTTTCATGTTTTGGTTATTTATATATATTGATACATTGTTTCAAATCCATTCAGCGTATACTGTTGTATTTCTTCCTGTTGTTCAGTTATTCCACAGTGTTTTTACCCATTTTGTGGCTGATTTAAATTTTGATAGCCTACATTTTTTTTGTTACTGTAAAATTTATTCAGTGTACACTTGTGAGTGCTTTTTTGTATACATTTATGAGAATTTCTCTTGGCTGTTACCTAGAAGTAGGATTTGTTGGGCCATAGAATTAATGTATCTTCAACTTTGCTACATGATGCCAAGTTGCTTTACCAATTTATACCCTCAGCTGCAATGTTATTTTATATCCTTGCTGACTACTTGATATTTTCAAACTTTTAAGTTTGCTAATACAATGGGTGGGAAATGGCATCTCATTGTTGTAATTTGTGTTTCCTTAATTACCACTGTGTTGAGCATCATTACATATGTTTATTGGCCATTCATTTAAGCTCCTCTGAATAGCTTTGCTCATTTTTCTATTGTTTTATTTTCTCATTGACTTATAGATGTTCTTCATATATTTTGAATTCTTTCTCTTTCTTGGTTAATTCATTACAAATACATTTTCACAGATGGTAGCTCATCTTGTCATTCTGTCTATATATTTCATCCATCTCTATGAAGTAAAGTTTATAATTATAGTAGTCAAATATATTAGGCATTTCCTTAATGTTTTGTGGGTTTTAAAAAATCTTGGTTAAAAAACACTTTAAACCCAGGGTTACAAATATATTTCCCAATATTTTCTTCTGAGTATTGTATTTTACACTTTTGCCTATCATATTTAAACATTAATTTATGTTACATTGAATTTTTTACATATTGTTAGTTAGGGAGTCATTTGTTTTTCTCCAAGTAATAACCAGCACCACTTAATAAATAGTGTGTCCTTTACTCACTGGTTTATATGACAGCAATAGTATATGTTTTCATTTGTGCATAAGTCTGTTGTTACTTATTTTGGCTTTCTTCCAGGAACTTCAATCTACCTACCATTTGCCCCCTATAGTATATAATCTACTACATTTCTTGCTTGAGCCCTTTCTTTAGATTTTAACTCAGTTCTGTCACATGCTTGTGAATTTGGGTAAATGTAATAGAATTTTAATTATTTTTCATCATTTTTTCTACCATGACTTATATCTTATCTCATTGCCTAGAATACATTTCTTTTTTTTTTTATGTTATCTCCCTTTGATGGTGATGTTTGTTTAAAAGGAACCCACCATTTTCCTTTACCTTCTATTTATTAACAGAACGATTAAAATTGAAAATACAGTTGAAAATGTTGTAATCCTTAATATTAAGATGCAGAAGGCAAACTTTCAAATACATTTCTTAAAAGTAAAGTAAGAATGACCTACTTTTCCTAAATGGCTAGTAGAATATTTTGATTAACACCTTGTAAGACTTAATAATTTTTAGGCAGTTTGATTTGGTACAAGTAGGGACCATATTATGCTTTGCTTGAAGTTCATTAAATATTGGTTTGATCATTCTATTATTAGCTGTTATTCTTTAATTTTTTAGATGATTGGAATCCATTTTCATACCCATACAAGAAACTGGATTATGGAAAATGGGAGTTGTATATACCACCAAAGCAGGATAAATCTCTACTAGTACCTCATGGATCCAAATTAAAGGTATTTTTTCCCCTCCTCTTTTTATTTGAATGTATTTGTTTTTAATCCAGTTGCAAAATTTGATTTAAAATGTGAAAATGTAAGCTGATGCATGATAATTGTGGGCAAAACAGTTTAAATGTTCAAATGGAGGAAATAGAGAGTATCCACAAATTGGAATGTGTTAGAGTAGAACTATTGCATTGGAAAGATACCACACTTAGTTGTATTATCAACTTTGGAAATTTACATGAAGATTTACTAAAGTAATTGTAAATACTTAGCTTAGGAAACAGAAAGTTTAATAGAAAAATAAAAACCCTTCACATCGGCAATAGAGAGAATTTTTACATGTAAGGACATTTTTGATAACATTAATTTTGTGATGAGCCGCATGAATGTGGGAGGTGATATGGTGGTGGAGACACATGCATTTTGGGACATGCTTTTTCTGGTTTTTCCCCTTTCTGGTCTTTGACACAGGGGTTCTTGTTTCTCCTCTTCCTCTGTGGTAGGGCACTGGGATTGGCCTTTTGGAGGCGGGCTGAGCATCCTCTGCCTCAGCTGACCATGGGGTCTGGGTTCACAGTTTGCAGAGCCTGCAAGGCCTCTCTTATCTCCCAAAGGAAGCTCAGCGGATGATGGGTCCCAAAGTCTAGACTACAGATTTTAGGTGTTTGATTATATAACAAGCTATCTAAATCATTTAACATTTACCTGATTTTGCTCATATAATTATATAATATTTCCATGTCCCTTGTTTTTCTTTCCCTTCCTTAGACATTAAATAGCATTCATAGCATTTATCATGAAAAATCCTGTGACTGATTTATTATTTTTATGAGTATTTGTTATTTAACAACATTAACTCAGAGTTAATTAAAGTATATTTAAAATCAGTATGGATTGCATGTTTGTTTTGTAGCAGCTTTTTTTTAAAAAAAATAATAAAATTATAAGTGTATCTGAAAATTGCTAAAGTATTGCCACACATAATATAGTTACCAGAAGAACATATTGTGTAGAAAAGAGACATTTTAACATGGGATGGCAGCTGAAGTTCTTTTTAATCTGTAGTGAAAAGGAGAAAAAGTAGCTACAGTTTACAATAAGAGGGATTTAAATTTAATATAAATAATCCCCTTTCCAAGTCAGGATAAGCTACAAAAGAGCAGGGGCTTTTGCTGTTTTGTTTGCTAATACTAGATATTCCCAATTTTTAGAGCAATGCCTGGCACAGAGTAGGCACACAAGAAATATTTATTAAATATTAAAGCATTTTAGGCCCAACTGATTCAGGAATAAGCCAAATTATAGTATACTGATCTCATTGTCACTTAGGTCTTATGGCCATTTTTGTTTGTTTTTTTAATGAACTAGACTGGTTTTTTTAAAGTGCTGAGAATATTTTTATACCTTTTTTTAAATTACAAAATTTATGAACTCTGACACTGTTATTACTTTTTGCATTAAATAGTGAATTTTGGTATTTTTTTATACATGGAATTAATAATTAACTAAGAAGGAATGATTATTCGTGTATGAGTATATTGGGAATAATGGTAGGCATTTTGCCTCTCGCATCTGACCTCACATCTGTTATATTTTCTGCTATGGTCTGAATGTTTGTGTCTCTCTTTCCCAATTTTTTTGTTGGAATCATAGAGCCTGATGGGATGGTACCAGTAGCTGGGGCTCTTGAGGGTGAGGCTCTTCTGAATGGGTTTTCAGTACCTCACAAAAGAGACTTCAGAGAGATCTGTAATCCCTTACACTATGTGAGGATACAGTAAGGTCTGTGACCCAGGAGAGGGCCTAAACCCAACCATGCTGGCATCCCAGTCACAGAATTCTATCCCCCAGAACTCGGAGAAATCAATTTCAGTGGTCATAAGCACCCAGTCTGTGGTATTTTATTATAGCAGCTCAAGCAGACTAATATGCTTTCTGTACTCTGCTATGTACTATGTCAAAATTTTTACTATATGAAGTGAAATAACCTGATAATAAATGTGGCTTTTAAATTTTCTCTTGGCTTTAAAAATCTATGTTTAAGAACAAATAAATGTTAAACAAGTATAAAGTGAACTGTTGTGTAATCTATCCTCATGGTTATTCTCTAAAAATTTCAGTGAAAATAATTAACTGGAAACTTAGGCCCAGAATATTATTTGTAGTGTTTAGATGTTTCAAATGTTGATGAGACATTTAGATGCTATCATAATGTTAATAAGGTAATATTTTTTTATGAATGGAAAATGATGCATCATATTTTCTTTGGGGTAGAGGTTAAATTCTTTATAAAAAATTGGCTAACTTGAGGTTTTTGGCTTTTCAATCTGAAGTTGTCCCCAGTTAGACTATCTTGTAATTAAAAATCTTGTTTTAAATTGAACTTGACAATTTATTTCTGTCCACTAGGGATTGACCTTTATAATTCATTTGAGGATGTTTCTCATATGAATTATCTGGTAACCATTAACAAAATAAAGCAAAACAAAAAAACCGTTAACATCATTGAAATAATAACACATTTTTCTGCCAAGCAACTGGTTTTCTCATTTTGGTACTTAGAAAGATGATGCCTGACTGCTCATGTGGCCATCTAAATGCCTCTTTTTTAAGTGAGTGTTTAAGTGAGTTTATAAACAGAAAGTATTTAAAAAATAAAATAATATTATAAAGTAAATTAAACACTCAAAGCTTTATTTTTTTTTAAGATTTTATTTATTTACTTTTAGAGAGAGGGGAAGGGAAGGAGAAAGAAAGGGAGAGAAACATCAGTGTGTGAGAGGTATATTGGTCTGTTGCCTCTCACATACCCCCAACTGGGGACATGGCCCACAACCCAGGCATGTGCCCTGACTGGGAATCAAACCAGCAACCTTCCGGTTCACAGGCCAGCGCTCAATCCACAGAGCCACACTAGCCAGGACAAAACAGTTAAAGCTTTAAAAATATAAGAAAAGAATAGAGGACAACATTTCTGATGGATAACGAGGCATATATTAGTCATATATTTAACACTTTTTCTTCTAGCTGCATTGCCAGACTAATTTATGTGAACTCATTTCTTGTTTGCTGCTTAAAACTATACACCTTACATAACATAAAATTAAAAAAAAAAAAACCCAACAAAACTTCTGAAGTTGCTTCATAGTAATTTGTCACAATTGTTGAGTGCATGCTTTATGTCAGGTGCTGTCCTTAATGTGTGATGCTTGTACTAAATTGTAATATATATGTACGGGGGTATACTTTTTTTAAAAAAATAAAGTACTATTGGAGTAAAACATATCTGAACAGTTTATTCATTCTGTGATGGCAACAGGAAATAACAGAGGGGCAGCAACATTTGAGCATGCTTGGGGACAGGTTTAGAAGTTGACCAGAGAGGTTGAAGGGAGGGAGATTTTATCCTGAGGGCTCTGCGTGAATAAAAGTGTGTGTATTGATTGAAGTCTCAACAGGAAGCAAATAGCACACTGAAGAAAAGACAGTTTGAATTGGTTTGTTTTTTGTTTTGCTTTGTTTTTCCAAAAAGCAGTTTTCAAAGTTGAGCATTCAGTGATCTGGGAGAAAGTTCAAAGGAGGGTTGGGCAAGGGGCTTAGTAGCTCCTAAATTGTTACCTTGCCTAGGCAGCAGGAACAAGCTATCGATTGCTAGAACCCAGAGGGAGAGTCAGCCATCTTGAGAGGAGCTTCGAGCTTTGGCGGGAGACACAGTTAATTCATGGTAACCTTGCTGGGAAGGAGCCAGAGGAATAAAAGAAACAAATACTCTGATCTCTAATACCATCCCCTCTCTCTCTCCAGATTTGTTCAGTCTCAATGAGAAGCAGGAGGTTCTGGGAAATATGGTCCACAGAGATCAGGTTTCTGAGGCAGAGAGCTGGGTGAGAAGGGGGTCTGTCCTAACTGGTAAAATGTAGCCCAGGAGGTCAGGGAATGTAAACCTGAAAGGTGGGTTAGAGGCAAACTGTGAGAAATGCCTTTTCTTTATTTCCAGATTCCCATTTTCTTTTTTATCATTCCAATTAATACTGTTATATATATTTTTTAAAATGGTTAAAGAAGACAGTTTAGGTTACAGATAAACTTTATTTAACACTAGATGAACTTGTACAGTCTTCAATTGGAAAACTACAGAATGGGGTAGAAGGCAGAAAGCTTTTATGGGATAAAGAATGAAGATAAGAAGAAATAATAGAAAATATATGATTGACTAGGGCCAGAGAGTCAGCCTTGTTGGGGGTGAGAAGAGCCAGAGCTGGCTTGGCTGACTGGGTACACTGTGTTTCTTGACAAAGGGAACGTTTACAGGTCCAGGGAAGTTACTAAGTATTGGTTTGCTGATGTGACACCCTGGCCAGTGCAACTCTGCCTTCTTGTGTGTTCTCACAAGGCACTAATCTCGTGAGCAGGGCCCTATCCTCATGACCTCATTTGACCTTAATTTTCTCCCAAATGTCCCATCTCCAAATACCATGACATTAAGAGTTATGGCTTCAATATATGAATTTGGAAGATGGGGAGGGTGCATAATTCAGTTCAGAGCATATCAGATTGCTTTTCTAAGCTCTATCCTGCGTGTATAAAGTTATTTCAGCAATCCTCAGATGACTAGCAATGGCAGTCAGAATTACCTTCTTTTTAGTCTTTAGGATGTTTGTGTGCTTTAACTTTGCTTTGCCAATTGGTAACAAAATGGACTAGACCAGTTTCCTTGATATCAGGCATTTAACATTTTCAAAGAGTCATGTATTAGCTTGAGCTACCATTAAAAAAAATACACACTGGATGGCTTAAACAATAGAAATTTATTTTTCTTCACAGTTCTGTAGACTGGAAATCTGAAATCAGCCAGCAAGTTTGGTTCTGGTGAGAGCTCTTTTCGTGGCTTGTAGAAGGCTGCCTTTTTTTATTTTTTAAAGATTTATTTTTATTTTATTTATTGATTTTAGAGAAACAGAGAGAGGAAGGGAGGTAGGGAAGAAGAAAAGGAGGAAGAAAGAGAGACA